GTGTCTTTTCCTATTTTTAAAATGATTATTGACTTGAGCATCGAAGTGCATTAGGCAGGACACCGCACCGATGTTGAGTTTTCTAGTTGCAGACTCATTGGTTCTCCAACGAAGTCACTCGTTCGAATGACACGTGGACCTCTCCGAAATTCACCATCAACAGGAGTTATTTTCTGCTTGATTAAAGTTTGGGATTAATCCTAATGTTCTTGATGATTCACCATGTTTCAACTACTAGTCCTATTAGTTTTYTAAAGAATTTGGTAGGATATAACAGGCTTTAGTTTATACTAGATATATCTTTCAGTAAAGAGCATGCRTGGGTGCTTAGCTATAAACTGTTATTACAACTCATTAAAGCAAACAAGAGTTTGGTTAATGTAAAATCTAGATAGTTTGAGAAGATAYCAAGTCTTTTTGGTTGGCAGTCTTAGAAACTTCTCTGTGAGTCTCTGTGACTCAAGTCACAGTACAGTAAAAAGACATAAACCCTACAATTTTCTCTATTTCCTTAATTTTTTGTTTTATATGCAATTTCTAATTTCTTACTCCTTAKTTTAGAGTCAAATTATATTCTTTTGGTTTCCCACTTCTTTAGAAAGACTTTAGAGCAAATTGGTTATAACAATCCCGGTAGAGACGATCTTTCTATCACTTGCTACAACTTCTCAATGTATACTTGCACGTAGGGTGTTGAACCATAACACTTACCTTTCCACTTATTCTATCTTCCACTTTCTCYATTTTAGCTTTCAGTGCCCCTTTAATGCTTCCTTGAARGAATGGTTGCCTCGTATCTCTCAGGTAGCTTTGTTAGTAATCCTAATCAACTTATTTTGAGTACTCTTTAATTATTCTTACAATCCTTCATCAACATTCAACAAAATTCTCTCACCAAGTTYAACACCTTCATGCCCTTAATCCTCTCATTACCTTCGTACTCACCTTTGAGAAACTTCCAAATTACCTTTAGTGACTTTAAGGCAATGATTATGTTGAATGTGGCAGGAGACACATCTACATATATAGACAAGCTAGACTCTTTGCCTTCCTGGTGACTCTCTCCTTGTAAATTTTATATGATGTATTGTTGGATTATCAAGAAGCATGAAGCAACATCATAGACTTGCTAAATTGCTTCCAAATAATCACAACCCTTCCATGTAGACTTTCATTCTGATAGCCGATACTTGATACCTTTCACCATCAAACATAGGTGGAGCTAGTGAAGAAAGACGGTTTGATCYAGTTTGATATCACTGTGTATTTCTTATTATTGAGAGCAAATGCCAAATGAAAAATGGGGCAGTGTACCTTTCTTTCAWTAACTGCTCCAAATAAATACAAATTTTGAGATACTAAAAATAGACCTAACAAATTACACAAAAATAGCAACTACTAGGTCCACAAAATAGGTAACTTAATTTTAGTTTAATAAMAATAACCACAACAACTTAATTTGCTGTAAACTAGGATTTGGACTACACATTCAAAACATCAGTAATCTTGTAACTTGAGTTAACCAACGATTTCAAGTAGAGTCGATAAGTTCTTTTACAAAGTCATTAATGTTGTTATCTGAAGTACCACTTTCATCCACGGCCTCTCGAGCCAACTCCTTCCATTTTAATGAATTCCTTCTTATGTCTTTCCCTCTCTCTTCCTCCATCACTTCTCTGATGCACTTGTCTATTTCATCACTTGTAAAGATGCCCTCCTCATTCACTTTTGCTCTGACCCCAACTCCCCAAACATCTGCTACGAACTTGGCATTTGTGGTTTGATCCGACCATTTTGGAACCGCCACCATCGGGACGCCGGTGCTGAGCGCCTCGAGCATCGAGTTCCAGCCACAGTGAGTGACGAAGCATCCGATTGCAGAGTGAGCCAAGACTTGGATCTGAGAACACCATGTTAGAACCAGGCCTTTCCCTGAAGTCTCTGAMAAAAAGTCAATCGGAAGTTTTTGCTTTTCTGATTCTCGTAGAACCCATATGAAGGGGTTATTGRCGTCTCTTAGACTGCTTGATATTTCCCTTACCTAAGATGGATAAATAGCCACAGACAGAAAGTTAATGCAGTTATTGAGATTTTTTAATTAGAGGTTGCATAGTTTACTAATTATTTGTTGTTTAATTTGTTTTTTACTGTTCGGAAGTACTCTCGAAACGTTAACTACATTTCGAAATAAAATTTTTAAAAAAATAGAAAGGAAACAATAAGAATAAAATTTCGATCAATATTTATTGTCGTCGATTATATATAGGGATTAAAATTATTCCTCTATCATTAGGAAAAAAAAAGAAAGAAGGAAAGATATGCAATTTTAAACATTACAAATTTGGGTCCTAAAGCCCATTCCATAATAATTTCTATTTTTGATTTTTTATCCACATAWTTTGCGACCGCTAAAGATATTTTTTAAGTAGTTTTCRTTTCCAAAATYTCATTTTTTCTCCTAATACTCAACTTTTTTTTTCCTTTCTCATATTTATCTTTTAAAAATTTATTTTTCATTCAAAAATTTTTTTATTTCTAAATTTCTCACTCTAAACTTTATTTTTATCTCTCTAAAATTTTCATATTTTGAATACTTATTGTTATTTGTGTCTCTCCAAAATTTTATGTATTTTTGTTTTTTTTAATAGATCAGTTTCATTTCTCTCCCTAAAAATTTAATATTTTTCCTAACTTTTTATCTCGAAAATTTCATATTTTATAATGTTTATGTCTCTTCGTAATCTATTTTTTCTTCTAAAAATTATATTTTATTTTCTCCTTCAATTTTCTTTCACTGAAACTTTTATTTATCTTTGTATTTATCTATTTTATATAAAAATTATATTTTGAATCTTATTTTTATCTCCAAATTCGTTTCCACTATATTTTTTCTGTTTCTTTATAATTTCTTTTTTTTTCTTTAACATATCTTTTCCTCTCGAYTTTATTTTTTTCTCCAAAATTTTTCTCTTTTTGTCTTTAACTTTTCTTTAACTATTTTTTTTTCTAAATATTTTTATTTATCTCKCTAAAATTTTTATTCCAAAAGTTTATTTACATTTGTATTTCCATGTCTCTACATTAAGGGAAGATAAAAATTTCCGTAGGTCGAGTCCCAAAAATAGAAAATGCACGTCCCGACCCCGTCCCTTATTCCATATTTTAAATAATTAATATATATTACAATTTTTTTATATTTAAATTCTAAAAATAATTAAAAACATTTATAAAACTGATAATTTTTCTCGAGGACATCTCTCGGAACCAAGAACGAGGTGGAGACGGAGACTAAAACTTTTCACGAGCTTGAGAAGGAGGGAGAGGATCCTCACTCGCACCCACACCATCTCTACTCTACATAAAATTTTCTCTCTCTAATATTTTCAATTTTCTAACTTTTTAAAAACACAAAACTAAAAATGGTTACCAAACATGTTTTGATTTGTTGTTTTTTAAAAACAAAAACCGAAAAATGGTTATTAAACATTTATTGTTTTTGTTTTCTAAAAACAGAAAACCAAAAACCAAAAACTAAAAACAATAAAAACCAAAAACCAAAAACCAAAAACTAAAATGGTTTTCAAACAGAGCCCTTAGTCTTTTGTTTTAGGTTTTTTGTTTTTAAAAAACAAAAATCATATATATTTGATAACCATTTAAAAATAGAAATCCAGACATGTCTGGTAATCATTTTTAGTTTTCTATTTTTAAAAGGTTAGAAATTTGAAAATATATATTAGAGAGAGAAAATTCTATGTAAAGTAAAGATGACAATGGTGTGGGTGGGAGTGAGGATACTGTCTCCCATTCTTGTGCTCGTGAAGATTTTAATCCCCATCTCCACCACATTCTTCGGTCGGAGAGATGTTCTCGAGAAAAATTATCGGTTCTATAAAAAATGTTAATTATTTTTAGAAGTAAAAAAACTGTAATAAATATATATTACTTATCYAAGAAATAGAATCGAGACGGGAACGAGACATGCATTTCCTATTTTTGGAGTGGGACCCGACCCTACAGAAAATTTTGTCATCCCTAATGTAGAGATATGAAAATATAAGAGTACACAAATTTTAGCGGGATAAATTAAAAAAAAATTAGTGAAGGAAAAGTTAAAAGAGAAAAAGAGAAAAGTTTTAGAGAAAAAAAATAAATTAGAAAGAAACAGAAAAATTAGAGTGGAAAAAATTTAGAAATAAAAATAAGATTCAAAATATATTTTTTAGAGAAAATAAATAAATAAGGGAGAAATAAAAGTTATAGCTAAATAAAATTAAATGAGAAAATAATATATAATTTTTAGAGGAGAAATAGATTGAGAAAGAAAGGTTATAAAAAACAAAATTCTAGAGACAAAAAAAAGTTTGAAAAATATTAAAATTTTTAAATGGAGAAATGAAAGTGATATGTATGAAAAAAAATATAGATGAAAAATTTGGAGAGAGAGACAAATAATAATCAATAGTCAAAATATGAAAATTTTAAAGAGAAAATAATTTTTGTAGAGAGAAATTTAAGAAGA